AAGTGAAATTAAATTATATATATTTATTACATTCTTAATAAAAAATACAGGTTTTTTGCATATGCGATATGGCTGACGTCAAAATAGCCGTATCAGCCCTGCAAGGCTGATATGGATTTGCGGGGCTGATATAGGTTATCAGCCCTGCAAATCCATATCAGCCCTGCAAGGCTGATACGGATCAATATCACACCCCTAGTAAATTAAACCTAAAAAAAAGGTACTTGTGATCATACACATATTTTAACTTTTTGAATGTAATGATTATCTAACTGATAAATAATGGATTATTAAGGTCTTCCGCTCAGGCGGAAGACCTTCTACTGATTCTGATGGTTAAGATTATTCCTATTATTCTTTTTTTTTCCTAGACGCCAACTTTGAGACCTCGTAACTCGCTCATTTCTGAACGGATTTCGCTCAAATTTTCAGAGTTTTTGGATGTTACAAAACTCAATTTAAATATTTTCATACATTTCAAAAATTCCCTTCCGCTTTTGAGTTATTCCCCTTTAAATGAAAATTTAGTGCTGTTTGTTTCCAGACAAAGGGTCAGAAACGACAAAAGCTGGAGCAGAACGTTTACTGCATTTAAATACTAGAAGAATTGAAGTTGTGCACATCACTTTTTCTTTTTCGATTTCTGCGCTCAAAACGGTGCTAGATAGGGGTCAAAAATAAGAATGCCTAAAAGCGCAAAAATTAACATCTGTTTCCTTATGTATCTTTTATACTAAAAATAATTTGTTAAGACATGTTGAACAAATATTGCGCATAATTTTAAGCTCCATCATTTGACATCATTAAAAAGGGGCTGGCCCCTCAAATTAGGGGTCAAGGGCGCTCGAAAGTTTTTGTTTTATAACATAAAAACAGTAATTATTTCGATATGGTTATCGATTTTAAATGGGTTCTTTAACATCTTATTGATTTCATGAAAACGTTATTTTGTTCAAGTCATGTGTTATTAGATGAGCAGAAAACTTTATAGTCCATGTACAGGTAAGTGATTTTATACGGCAAGTGAAGAAGAATTCTATATGCGTACGCGTAAAACACGTTTAACTGAAATTAATTGGATAAGAATAATAAACCTAGCTAAATTGAATGTTAAACTTTGTTGAAATAAGATTTTTAACGAATCCTCTAGCTGGATGTCATACAGATTATTCAGAGACAACTTTCTCCCTGTGTTTAGTTTAAAGAACAAGACGAAAGAGAGGAAAAATACTTGTTAAGTATTAATATTCAATGTAGCATTATTTATTTAAAAAAATTAAATTCGTGCTTAAGATAATTCACTGTCATTCAATTCATGCATCGTGAATTTTCCTCGGAGCCTGAAAGTTTTGTGTATACAGTGTGCGTGTTTTGTGTGTACAGTTATCACATGGTTATGAAACCCGTTTATCGATCGCGTATTGACCTGTATACATTAGTTAGGTCAACATTACCGCTCTTTGATTTTTACTTGAGTCCTAGATTTAAGATCAAGAAAATATGTCATTTGCGCTAACCGTAAGAATATTTCTATACACAAATATAAAGGTTTTCTTGAACATGATTTATAAGTGTTGAATGTCGGATTCTATTCTTTGACGAATTAATAAAATGTGCTGCGTTACCCGCGCTTTTCTCATCTGCTGAGGTATCTATGGACGAGTTCATCGGTTACACTGAAGGGTGACACAGGATGACCTATCGATGACTCTGCCAAATTTGATAGTGATTTTAATTGCACATGTACATAAATTAAAGTTAAATTCTACCCTTGTGAAGTCCATTATAGTCTCGTTATTTAGAAAAATGGGGATATCAATACTGCAACTTGTTTTTGAATGGTATACGGATGATTCTATTATTGGAAAGGTACACATGTAGTACGAGGATTTTTTAGGCCCCGTCTCCCCCTCCACTTTGAAGTAATTGCAATCGTTACATGTATATGGGCCTATATCAAGTTATTCTAATTGCTTTATCATGTTTATATCAGAAAAATTTGCGATGTTGTTTAAATTAGCAAAATACAAATAAACATGGTAAATGCGCACAGTAAATTGCAAGTGGAAGTGACGTTTCCAATACTCATGAAAATCGAAAATTAAACGAAGCAACTGAGTTTTGCTTGAATTGATACATAACTTATAATTGTATTGTACCGAATGTATTTCTTTTATTTCCTCGAATTATCCATAATTAATCCATAACCTATTATAATGTAAACCAATAGTCATACGTGACATTTTTTTTTATTCGCAGGTAGTCAAATAAATGAAAAAAAGATTAGTATGCGTCACTAAACTTTCCTATATATAAACGTTTTAATTTCTAAAACTTGTACCGATTAGAGTGTTCAATCGAGCATCGAAGTGTGTACATGTACTACATGTTGGTATTAGTTTTTTGGGGTAATGGGAGGTACCAGTTTTTGCTGCATTTGATTTCCTGAATTTTGCATTGCATTTCCGACACTTAATAATTTCTACACTGTAACATTCATTTTCATTCTGGATTTTACACTATATTTCAAGCAATTTAAGGTTAACAAAGAAGGTGGAATCATTATTTTAATAGAATATATTTGGTTAGAGTAACACAAGTGAACTTGTGATGAAAATTTATTAAACGAAAGTCAAGCAATAAAAGGTTAAAGTGTGTATTTAAAATAAATCAAATCAAGTCACAGAAAAGAAAGACAGGTTGTAAAGCTCACACACCCACACACACACACACAAACGTTTTGGATACTCGGAATAGTCCAGAGTAAAACTATATTTTCTTGATGATGGAATGTCCAGTACATCTAATGTTCACGTCCGGGATCGTCCACGGCGGATCTAAAAACTGACTCTCTCACACAACAAACGGGATTCACTCAAATTTCAATTAACACATTTACACAATTTATATCATACATACAAGTCAGACGCTCTTTGATGTAGAGGATTGACACTAATTCGTTAGATAAATACTGAGTGACAAATTCCTTTTTACTATTTAAACTCAAATTGATAGGTAAATAATTTAAGCATATGTAAAAAATAAGCATTAAAACTACATGTAATTATTTTCATAAAATTCAATTCTGTTTAAACAATATACCCGGTAAATCACTAGCAGCGCAAAGACAGACTTAAAAAAAAAATAGAGGTGGAATTAGGCGAATTTAATCCTTTTATGACACCACCTACCCCATGACGAGACAGTTGTGTATATGTTCTCATCGAAATGACCGGTCTCCGCGTCTTGAACCTCCAACGTACATGTATTGCATGTACATGAATAATATGTATTAATAAGTCTTTAAGGAAATCTCATGTAGGAAACCTGATTTATATTCTAATTTTTTCTAATTTGTTTTATTATTCCTACTTCTCAATTTATCATGTTCAAATTACATGTATTTATTTTTTAGGGAACATTAAACCTTATTCGTCAGCCAGTCTGTCCATCTGTCACGAGAACTTTAAACTTGATAATAACTATTGAATGAGTTGAAACAGGACGTTGATGTTTCACGTGTGCATTATTTGTGACATCTGATTTTCAAATATACTGTGATTTTTGACCCTGTGACCTTGATCTTGGAGCTTGACCTACTTATACTAAAAATTAAAAAAATTAAAAAAAAATAACATTACTTTAAATTGACCATAACTTTTGAAAGCTTCCATTTTATAAAAATGTATTAACTGTGACAACACCTTTCAAATTTCACTGATTTTTTACCCTTTGACCTTGAAGTTTGACCTACTTTTCAAAACATTAACAATACTCATTTCTTTTGAATAAGAAGAGATATTGCTTTTATTTTATCCCTGTACATTACCTAAGACAACTCTTTTCTAAATACACTGACTTTTGACAACTTGTGCTTGAGGCTTGATCAAAACTTTTTAATGAGGAGAGATAGGGCTTTCATATTACACAAACATCACATGTACGTAACCTGTGATAAAATCATTTCAAATGCTAGTATATCATGAACTTTGACCTTGAAGTTTATCCGGCTTTTCCAAAATTTAAACATTGTTTAAAATTGACCATAACTTTTTACACATGTATATAAGCTGTGACAACGCCTATCTAAAAAAAAAAGGTATGGCTTAAATCATGCAGTGTGTTATGGCCTTGAATCAAGGTCATTTAGGATAAGATATTTTGGCTGGATGCATTGTTTGAAAAAAAAAAAAACATGTGTGAATGTGTCAATACGGTAGCACACAAATGGGATATGCTCATCACCAGCGTGTGTCATGGTGTGACCCAAGGTCATTTTGAAAAGGTCAAGGTCGCAAACATTCCTCAACTATCCTTTTTTTTAAAGTAAATCATAATAAGATGATATCTACCCTTAAAAGATTGCTTTAACATTAGAACGTGGCATGACCTTGACTCAAGGTCATTTCTCTCTGTCCGTAGCTCCGACGGAAGACCTACTCGTTGCTTTGCAACGAGCTCGGCTCTAGTTTTAAAATTACGGATTGGGGACATTTGAAATAGAAGTACGTGCAGAAACAAACCGAAACTGTATGAGACAATAGACTGTGTACATTTTAAGAAATCTGAGCATGATTATTTATTTATTTTCTTCTCTAATTAATGTGTTCTGTATTTTATTACTAAGCATGTAATAAATATAATAAAACATACCCTTTTCCACATCACATCCTGTACAGGATGTGAAATGGAAAAGGGTATGTATTATTCTCTATATAAACGTACATGTTATGTAATCTGCCCAGGTTGATTTATATCATAAAATATAGGTTCAAATAAACTTTATTTTTTGTAATTTAATTCCAGAATAGACAGACAACTTTTAATTGAGCATTTTTAAATGTAACTTCGGGCGGAGTAATATGTTTTATACGTGAATCATATCGACTTAGGTAACTTATGTTAAATTAAATCTTTACTCCAAGAAAATGACGCGTAACAACTAAAATTAACTAAGAAAATGTTAATATATTGTATTAATTTACGAAAAAATGTTAATGTCTATATCTTACTTGTATTGCCAGTTTTATTTTTTGGTCAGGTTATTGTCAATGGGAACCTGGTCAAGAAATCGTCATCGGAAACATCGGCCCTCGTACTGGATGTTATAGTAATTCCTGGTATCAATGTGGTGTGAGTATTCCATCTGGTGAGTACATTTTCAAAATAAGACATAATATGGTATAAGAAGATAGCTTCCTCGTAAAAATATTAAACAATGCAATCTAAATTTCAATATCCTCGGAAATATACTAGTATAAAAATTTAACAAAACCGTGCAAAGACGTGTGCAGATGTCGATGAAGATAAGAATATTGAGAAATTAATTCAAAAACTAAATAGCTGATACACCTAAAATCCTTTAGAATGGAAATAGGATCTTAATAATAAACAGTGTAATAAATGTTAAATTTTGTTAGTATCATTTTCTTAGATTGTCGTTTTAAAGGTCTATAATAAATTGAGTTTGATGTGTTTCGTATAAACAACGTATAGACGTCTGCTCTATAAATATCAACCCAACTATACATCCACCTACATTGTATCTTCTTTTTAAAGGGTGGTACCAGTATAACGTATCTGTTATTGACAATGGTTGGAACGATTGTTCTTCTGGTGTGTCGTACGTGCGGAACTCGACTATTGACTCTATGCCTTTTGTTGCTGCATTCGTTTGTAACAATCACGGAAATATGAGGTTAGATATATCTACTGCTATTTGGTTTGATTTTTGCAAATGATGCATTTACCCCTGAATATAGAAAGATAAAAAACAGAAATTATTTAATGTCTATAATATTTTTGACAGATATAAACTTTTAGGAGGTTCGAGTTTATCTAGTGATTTTATGGAGATATTCCGCTGTCACTCTTGTGATTATAATTGTGACTTGGTATATGGTTACCCCTATGACGAAGTCTGTTCTACATCTAATTGTAAACAATATTGCAGAGGCGGCTTTTATCACTACAATGCTCAAGGTTGGTGCAGTTTATGGTGAAATACGAAATATACATGTATTTCAATGAGAATGTTTTATTTCAGAACCCTATATGTTGTATATTCTGCATAAATTCGTAAGCAAATTAACATATATTTGACACTATAATGCATTCAATTTTTATGCAGAAACAGTTATTGTCAAATAAGGCATCGAATTCCATTCATGCAAGTTGCCTTTCAAAAAAAATAAATAAATAAATAAATGAAGCTTTAGTGGGGTGTCCACATATATACAAATTCCATAAAAATTCTATCGAAATTAACAAGTGCATCTAGTTATGGATTGCCAAACTACTGATAATCCTTATGAAAATGACACCAAATCTAAATCCACAGCTTTCAAATAAAAATAAATGGGTTTTTTTTGCATAAAAGTCTACCTTTTCAATCACAACATGGCTTACAGTTCGCCAACACAGAAAACTGAGCTTATATATACATGTAAGTTTTATCGAAGACATCCAGAAGCTCATATAATTTGAATTTTGGTTCATTACAAAAGGAAATTGTATTCCCTTTATAGTGATTGATATTTATGATCTACATGTATATTCAAAACGTAGGTTTATCTTTTTAAAGCTGAATTGTTTTTTGATAATATTTTTTAGGTTATTGTCGAAACAGTAGTCATTTGCAGTTTAGTTATCGTCCTACTGGATGTCCTTCCCAGTGTTCGCATTGGTACACACTAAGCTATATCGAATGTGGAATAGAGATTCCTTTAAACTCTTAGATTTAAAATATACTATTACAATTGTAGGACATCGGAAATAATGCCATGTCTCCATTTTTGTTTTAAAGTCTTCTTTTTTTTTTTTTTTTTTAAGTTTTGAAAAAGGAAACAATGTGTCTTGAAATCGTGGAAAAATTTGTACATTTGAAAATATATATACATATTGTATATTTTGTTTTTCAAAGGACAATATATAAAAAAAAAAAAAAAAAAAAGCTTGGAAATAGTTATGTTAAAATATTGTCATTTTAAAATTATTAAAATGGTCTTTTCAAGAAACCTTCTTTTGTGTTGATGTAAACATTAATTAAAAACATAGTCTTTTTCAGTGTTGATAATTCATTTACCAAGATATGTTTATTTTTCATTCTCTTAAGGTAAGTCACTCGTCAGCTTTTTAGAAAAGTTCATGCAGAACCTCTAACTTCAAAAATATCTATCAAAATTCAATTTTTATAAAATAATTATATTCAACAATGTATATGTTTTAAAAATCAAAGAAAAAACTGCTCAAAAATCTTCAAAGAAGCAAGATGTATTAGGGACTATTTTTCGTGGTGGAAGGATATTTAGCAGATAATTCTGCAAATCTGCACATTTATTATAAATTTAATATCTTGGAACTTTTGCCTCACATACTTTTACTCGGAGAATATTTTCAGTTATGATATTGCTAGGAATATCAAATATAGGTCTTAATATTTAATATTTTTAGAACAAGTTTAAGATCTTCCTTCAACAAACTTTGCCAAAAACTGGAGATATGTCAAAGAAGTCAAGATAAATTTTACACCATATTTTGCCTGAAAATCACATATTTTGTCCAATATTTCAAAATTAACATCACTGACCCAAACTTTTTCTTTCATTATTTTAAACTTCTCGATACTTATGACTGATCAGCACTTAAGTCGTACAAAGCTTGATATAAGAAAATATTATATTGCCAACTTATTTTTCTAATGCCCAAAATATGTAATATTTTAGTGCAAAAAGGTCACATAATTATTTACGCGCATTAATTTGCAAGATTTAATCAATGATAAATATTATTCAAACTATTTTACGTAAAGTAAGAATAAATTCGTTGCCATGGTTACAGCTGAAAAAAATAGAATAAGAGATAATTGTATAAAAGTAATAAACTAAGGGGTTAAAATCTAAGTGCAAATAGGTCATCTTAAATGTACCATACATCAGTACGATGCACACTGAACCCCTATTTTCTCTTCGATTTTGAGTCACACTTTATGAGTACTTATCCAAAATATACTTCTCAAAAAATCCTTGATATAAGAAATTTAAGGAGTGACTTACCTTAAACCAAGTATCCAAAAGTTGCGCTAGGCATACTGTAAACCAACTTTTATTCGCGTGCGAGAAATTTTCGCGAACTTCGCGAAAGCCTCGTCATGGCGAATATTTCTCGCCGCGAACCGTTCATTATCGTCTATGTGTCTATTAACAACCGAACCTAAATAGCCGTGATCGCGAAAAATAATCGTCGCGAACTAGTTTATCACTGGTAAATCGCGAAATAAAGTCGTCGCGAATAAAAGTTCGTTTACAGTACTCGAAGCAAGATTGAAAGTTAAAAATAAGGGACCCAAACAAGAAAGATGTTTTAAAACATTCTAAATGTACAAAAATATTCTAAAGTTGATATTAAAAGTTTGGGTTTCAGATTGACAATATCTATGGTGCTTATAGAAATCAGGTCATTTACCAATAAAACTATTGGAATCCCAATTTTGTAGCAAAATGCATCCTGATTTTCACAGAACCCAGTTTTTGAATTAATATGAAACAGAATGAATTGACATATATATTTCAACATGAGATGTAAAAAATCATTTATGTGCTCAGATCGAATTGAAATAAATTCAACATACATCTCTGTAATAAATCGACAAACAGGACAATCTGTAAGAAGTATGACTCGTAAAAAATGGCCGAACAATGATTACGAAAAGGACGGAGAGCTTTTCGACTTAAACTGCTGGGAGCATATTTCATAAAAACAAAACAAAAACTATAAAATGTTTACAATTAAAAGGATTTATGGGGGGTAACTGGGGTTTTCTTGTGTGAAAACTCTCCAGAAGCGAAACTCTTCATTTTTTATACAACATATAACTTACATTAACTTCAGTGTACTTGCAAAGTTTGGGAGAAACTACCGTTCAGGTATTTTTGAGGGGCCGTCTCAAAATAGAGGTACATTTACTAAAGGATTATATAGGAAAATGCCAATTTTTAACATTCTAAAGCAAATACACAAATACGACAATAGACGTTTTGGTCAATCTATCATATGATATATGATGAGCAACACTATATCATGCAATATATGTAAAAACACAAAATTCTACCGTCTTGTTGCCAGAAGGCATCTCAAAATGCTAAAAAATTTTTGAAACACAAAGGATTCATATGAAAACATAATAAAAGTAATGGAGATATTTCAAAAGTCTATATTTAAAATTTCAAGAGGTTGTTAGACTTTTTTTTTGAAATTTTATTAACCTTTTTTTAAGAGCTTTTATTTATCATAACGTCAAAAACACACTGTAACGACATCAATCTACCTATCGATCGCAAAGTCGGTTAAAAAATCAGTTATGTAAAATTGTAATTACATTTTTATTCATATAATTTCTTTATTTTGATTAATTTTAACACGCATTCTCTGTAAGCACCAAAAAATCTTGGAAACACATGTCTCGGATTTTGATGAAATTTTCACCATAGGTGTGTCTTATACAAAACTAGTAAATATGATGTCGGAAGTTCCACACGTGCCCTTGGTTGCCATGGAGACGGATCCATTGAATTGGATTTGGAATTTTCACTAAATGAAAACATGAAAATTGAGGAAATGTAAATGAATATTTATCGGTATCTAAACACTTAAAAAAATCATTGGATCATATGATAACATGACCTTTTAAGGTACACAGAGCATATAATCGTTTATTATAGAAATATTCCTCCTGTAAGAAAAAGGTCATGCAAAATTACATGGTTTCTAAAAATTTGAAAAATGGGGAAGTTGGAATTTTTTGACATATTTGAGGCTAAAAAAAAAAATTGTTGGGAAATTTCCCAAATCTTATATGTATTATTAACTTGGGAATACTAGTGTCATTTCATGAAAAACATAAGT